GAAATACAAAGCAACTAGAACAGCTAACGCATTCTGAAAAGTAACAGTAAAGTGGACAGAATCATCCATTTCAAGGATTATTATATAGCTACTCTATCCAAGAACGTATAATACTGGCAAAGAGATAGATGCAAGAAGCAGCACCACAGAGGTAGAACCAAGTAATTTTCAGTGAAGCTGCTAAAATAATTCAATAGAAGAAGAATGGTCTTTGCAACAAACGATGCTGTTGTAACTGGATAACCACAGGCAAAACAGAGGTCAGCTAAGCCCCACAACATACAGAAGAAAAATGAACTCAGACGTGCCATATATTTAACTGTAAATGGAAAGCTTATAAGACATTTTGAAAATAGTGTAGGAGAAAACCTTTGGCACCTGTGACGTGCTGAAGAATTTTTGACATGACACCAGAATTATAATTTTTAAGACAAAGAGCTGATAAATTGGGTTTGTAAAATTTTTTTAAATTTTTCTGCAAGATACCCTGTTAAAAAGATGAAAGATAAATTACAAAATGAAAGAAAATATTTGCAAACAACACATCTAACAAATGCTCATATACAAAATACATAATAACTCATAAAACTCTAAGTCAAACAAATCACAAAATACAATTCGAAAATAGGCAAAAAACGGGAAAAGACATTTCATCAAAGGGAACATATAGAGAGAGAAAATAGTCATGTAAAATGTTATTCATCATTGCTAGCCTTTAGGGAAATGCAAATTAAGACTATGATGAGAACTGCTAAAATAAAAAGTAGTGACCATTTCAAATGCTGGTGAGGATGTAGAGAGACTGGGTTTCTCATACATTGCTGGTGGGAATGTAAAATGTCACCACTACTTTGAAAAGCAGTTTGGCATTTTCCTTAAAACTAAATAAACATTTTCCATATGACTGAGCAACTGCCCTCCTGGGCATTTATCCCAGAGAAATGAAATGTCATGTCTACATAGAAGCGGGTATGCTGTTATTCATAGCAGCAATAACTAAACACTGCAGTCAAATGTCCCTCAACAGATAAATGGTTAAACAAAACGAGGTCCATATTCCATATTCCACATCATGGAATACTACTTAGCAATAAAAAGGGACAAATGATCAATATGCCTACATAGGGCATTATGCTCAGTGAAAAAAGTCAATCTCAGAATTTCACATAGTGTACGTTTAACCTATACAATATTCTCCAAATGACAAAATTATAGAAATGAAAAACAGATTAGTGGCTTCTAGGAACTAAGAATGGTGGGAGTGAGGGGTGTGTATAAAGGGCAGCATGAGGAAGATGGTTGTGTATTTGATTGTGGATATGGGCGCACAAATTTACACATGCTGTAACTGATGTGAAATATACACATATTGTGTCAATGTTAAAATTCCTGCTTTTTATATTATACCATAGTTACATGAGGTTTACCCACTCGGGGAAACTGGATGAAGGGTACAGAGAACATCTTCTAGTTTTATAATTTCCTGTGAGTTGGAAGAGTTCACAAACACTTTTACATCCATATGGCCTTTAGGTTTGGCCTTGGTAACTGTGTTTACTTTTCCCAGAAGACATTTTTCTAACATGTTTTAAAATAAATATTTCTACAGCATTTTATTTATGTTGCAGGAGAGTATAAATAAAACCAAGATTTTAAAAAATGAACGAAAGGAAATAATAGTTAATCAGAATAAACGATTCAGCACACTGCTACACAAGGTAAATTCCAAATACTTCTTCTTATTTTCCAACCTCCATCCATTCAGATTATGACTACCTAATTTTGTTTGCCTAAATGAAAAAGAGACTGGGGAGAGTGACTCAATAATGTACCAGGAAATATTAAATGAAGTGAAACACAGACAGTTATTACTTGCCTGATGCCAGGCAAGCATCAGGTTAAGCCTAAGGATTATATGTTGTAAGACACACTCCTTGTGCTTAAAAGTTCTTGACCTAGTGAAGGAGGCAGGCTAGTGAACAATGACCACACAGAATGGACACCAATGTTACAACATACATAAATTAAGAGGAATTATATTATGAATATACAGGAGAAGCTCGTGTGCCTGACTTGGAGAGGGGGACACAGGCCAAATTTCCCACATTAAAATTACAAAAATTAATAGAAATGAACAAAACACAGAAACTGTCCAAAGCATTTGAAAAATGACACAAATTTGGGGTATGGTTATAAACTTGAATTTCTTAAATGTGGGAAGGACAGTCTATATATGTTAAGTAATCACCTTTACTAACTTCTCTCCTAATAATAATACTGCTATTTTTTTTAATACTTCCCTAGTTGTTATGCTACATTCTTTAAAGATGAAATCATTCATCAGTGATTTATCGAGTGTCTTCCATATGCCAGGTACCAGGGGTATTTATTCCTTACACTTTCCCTGCAAGGTAGCAGTCGTAATTTGGTGATGAATTGCCCCTGGGAATATAGCCAGGAAATGGCAAATATGAGATTTTTTTTTTTACTCAAGGTTACCTGATCCTAATTTTCTTTCCACTATATCATGTTGCCTACTCTCTCATTAAAAAAAAAAAGTGCTGCCCTAAACAGAGAAAACGTTGAATTCTCAAATGACATCAGTTTCAACCATAAGCCATGCTTACGACAGATGGTCCCATGAGTCCTGTGATGCGATACCCAAAGCTGGCATTCTCCTTGCTTTCCTCCTGTGACGGTCCTTTTGACTACTGCTCACAAATTGCGGTTATAAGGTTATAGCATAGTTAGCAATTGTACTAGTTTTAATCTAATATAATTTCTACGATATTTGCCGAGGTGATACACACCAGTACGGCTAAACAATTCTATAGAGCTGGCCACTGTTCTGACTGGCGAGTGTCACTTGTTAAACAGTCTCCATATTTAATTTGGTGCTTTCAGTGTTACCCATGGAGGTGTTACTCTCTCTCATTTTATAGAAGGAGATGGCGACTTTAAAGAAGTTTGGCAACTCACCAATGGTCAGATTCCCCCACTGGTTTTAAGACTGCTCTTTTCACTATTTAAAAATCACTGCCTTGATATATGTATACATATAGCTGATTCACTTTGTTATACGGCAGAAACTAACACAACATTGTAAAGCAACTATACTCCAATAAAGATGTTAAAAAAAAAATCACTGCCTCTAAATTCAAGAAAAACATTCAATAAATATCTTCTGAAACTATTTCTTATTAAATGAATTTATGAAATATTGCTTAAAACATTATAAACAGAAAAAGTAGTATTTAGAAGCTGGCAGACAACTAATGACTAGAAAATTAAGGAAGTATAATTAGGTGCATGTATAATATGCACCCCGTTAAACTGAAGCCTAAATACTACAGTTAGTAGTCATTTCACTGCGTTTATCGTTTTTGCTTCATGTTGTCAACTAAGGATTTGTTAGCACACTGAAAGTATCAGAAAAGAAGGAATTTATCAAATCAAACTTATCAGCTAGCGGCTGACACTCCACGTTCGCCAGAAGAGTATAGAACTGACAACATTAACACCGTTCACCCATATTAGGATGTGTCCTGTGTGTGAAAGATTGGGAAATCCACCAAAAGCTAAAGATACAGACTTTTGGACAATAGTAATGCACTGTTCATAGTAACACTAAGAACCAGTTTAAAGAGCGGTGTAAGTGGCACAGAGTAACGATCCACCCACGGCAGCCGGAGGGGAAGCAGAGGTGCTGTAACCCCATAGAAAGGTCTGCGCTTAGGGACGGGCTGTGATGGGGTGCAGATGTGAGAATTAGGAGACAAGCAAATGGACGGAGCGGGTGAAGTTACCCAGGCCTCTGTCCACACTGATGCGAGACAAATATAAGGCAAGACCACTTGGAACAGGGAAGCTTTAAAGAAACGCAGGAGGACAGGAGTCAGCAGAAAGGAGCTGCCTGCACAGCCCCCCTTAAACGGTCTGCAGCCCAGGAGGAGTCAGAGGCAAACATAAGGCAGGGGTGGGTATTCGTAGAGAGATTCAGATCAAGAGCTGAGGGGACTAAGGAGAAAAATCCAGACAAAAGCATGAGCAGATGTATAAGGCCAGAAAGGCATCGTCTTGTTAAAGGGAGAATGAGGGCCTCTGGTCTGGACACAGAGCAGGGCCGCAAGAGACGTGGACGGGAGAGTCAGGTGGGCTCGGTCCTGGGAAGGCTCTGAGCGGCAGGCCAAGACTCCCCCTGGATTTAATACATACAGGAACGTAACAGAATTACGGTGATTTTAATCCAGAGTTGAAATTTATGTCTCAGTTTTCATTTCCATAGAATTGATTTTTCACTTTGGTATTCATTATTTATTCTTTCTTCCCCACTGAAATAATATATTTATAACTCATTCTGACCCAAAGACTGTTGCTGTGAATTTCACAGAAGGGTAAAGGAAATCACTCAGATTTTGAATATTTACAAATATACATTCATAAGCACAAAAGTAGTGAATCTTTCTGATGAGTTAAAACAACATAGTTAATAAATTTCAGAATACTGAAAATTTGCATGGAGCAAAGCAAAAAAATCATTCATTTATTCATTTTATTTAACATAGAATAACATGGGGAAAACATAAATTGATTAAAAAAATATTTTTCTTTGGGGATTTGTGTTCATATCTGAAGAGGGAATCAAAAATGATAAACTAGAGTCAGAATATTTTAAATTATTATTTAGAATGTGAAACCATCAAGAAGGTGACTGTCTTAGTTCCCGGAATATTATTTTAGTGTGACACAAATACAGTTCGTAGGGAATTAAATCTAAGAAATGCAACTTGTTGTGTGTAATTTATTTTAAGGTATGCATTTCAGTGAAAACTTGCCATTAAAATCTAAGTGAATTTATTCTTTTGGCCATGCAGTATATTCCAAGGTAAAAACAGAGAACGTGTGTTTTTGCACTTTTGGGTTTCCTAAAGCTTCTCCCCTTTCTTTCTTAATGGCATTAATGTAGCTAGAGGTGGTCTTTGTGATGAGTTTCAGTTTACCTTTGCTTCAATCTGTTTAGTATCTGGATTCTGAAACAAAAATTTGATTTTGCTCTTGCCGTCATCCGAAGAACCTTTAAGCTGAGAAAACTTGTACCTCCAAAGTACTGCCTAAAGGGAAAAAAAAAACATAGGCGAGTCAATGCAACTCATAGCTATATTCAAACCAAGAAATTGTTCTTTAACTGGTTAAAGGTAATCATATTGATTTAGTCCTATATCCCAGTATTAAAAAGTAAATGAAAATATACTTATCAAAGGCTTAGTATTCAATATATCCTTTAATTTCCTGCAATAACTTTGGTTCCCATGAAGTTGTCATTTTAAACATATATATGAATAAGTCAATTTGCGTATCTGGTTTTACATTATCATGAAATAGAAGCAAACTCACTTAAAGCCTAAGTCCATGCCAGTGAATCAGCAAAAACACCTATTTTCCAATTCTTTTTTTTCATCCATAGAAGTGATAAGGTGATTTTCAACTGATAATTCTGTAGAACTTTCTCTTGAAGCTCAAACTAATAACCCGTGTCTTTGTCAAGATGAAAGGTCAGCCTGAGTAACCGATCACAACGGAAACTTCCATGGTGCCCTCATGAGACATACCAGCACGAACATCTCATGGGACCAGCCCCATCCATCCGCGGGGCCTCGGTCTAGAAGATCATGTGGCTAAAAGCCATCTTCCAATGTGGCAGCAGCAGGTTTGGACAGTATGAAATCTACATGCTAATTTAAAAAGTTTACACTTTTAAAAGTATAATAAAATAGCAACATCATAAAGTCCTTAAAAATAAGGACGAGGAAATTCTCAGTAACATATAATAATGAGGCATAATGAAGTTATACAGAATACTGCTCATTTATTTATTCACCAAACATTTATGCTCTTATATATTAAGATAAAAAGACACCGTCAGTTTTCTGAAGATATTAGTCTCTGTATAAAGTAGATGTCTTTGCTGTTGTTCTTACTATGAGGTTACACAATCTATACAGAAGCAATATCCAGTCATTACAAATCCTCTTAAATGTTTGCCTTAAGTCTATTACTATGAAGCATCTTTTAACAATAAAATTATCTGGGGCAATTAACTTTCTGGAAGAAAAATAGAAGAGTTATATCCTTTATCTCACAACTTCCTCTAAATAAAATTCTTTATGTTTTAAAAAGTGAAATAATTTAAACAATCCAGAACTACACGGTAGTAGGTGAGTATTTAGTAACTTTTGTAAAGAGGGAGTTCTAGATTTAGTTCTAGATTTAATAAGCAATTATATATAAGAGGGAGTTCTAGATTTAGTTCTAGATTTAATAAGCAATTATATATAAGAGGGAGTTCTAGATTTAGTTCTAGATTTAGTTCTAGATTTAATAAGAAATTATACATTCATATGTACAATTAGGGTTAGGGTGAAAGAAAAACAACAGCAAACAGTGGCAATATAGCAGGAAATACGGTAAAGTATCAGGAAAATCCTAACAACCTAATAAATAAAAAGACAGTACTACAGAGAAAAGTCATTGAAGAAAATGGAAAAACCATTACTATTTCTAATAAATCCGAGAGCATGTTCAATCTCACTAGAAAAAAAGAAGAGTGTGATAATATTACAATGACTTCGCTTTTTCCAAACGTTAAATTAGCAAAGATCACTGAAAATTAAAATAACTAAAGCTAGCAAGTTTACCTTGAAATATTTGTATAAAATTCCTGGCAACTGTGTGAAATTCTTTAGGGCAATAATTATAATATATATTAAAGCCTTAAAAATGTGGATGTTATGTGATCCAGACATTCCCTTTCAAAAAATTAACTGTAAGGAAATACAATATATGAAAAATAAAGGAAAGTATTAAATACCTTATTATTAATAAATATAAAAAAATGAAAACTCTGAACAATTTGCATTAAAATAATGCTCATAAGAGTCATGTATTTACATGGAAAATGCAATAATATGACTTTAAGGGGGACATAAGAACAGGAAAGCAGGTAAGTGTGTTAAAACAAAGGAGCTTGTAGAAGGCTGCGGGGGAACGTCTGCCAGAAACATTATCATACACGGCTCAGGTCCTGACATTAACCTACCATGTGGTTTTGGACAAGAAACTTTATGTCTAGCTTGGCTTAACTGTAAAAGTAAAGGTTGCAAATTCTCAAATTATAACTTGAAATAATATTTCATATGTAGTCATAAAAGTAAACCAGGAATTTGCAATTTCAACGAGCTGACCTTTCCAAAGGCCAGACTTTAACAGCTGTTAAAGCTCATTATTTTAAATAAAGAGTAACGAAATTAAGAATGGGGATGAGGCAGATACGGGAGGGAAGTCTGCAGACTTTTCGAAATATGGAGCATGGATCCTCGGCTGTGAGTAGATCGCGCCAAAAATGAATAAAGTAGTTAATGAATCTAATGATGGGCTGGAAGATTGGTCAGTTAAGAGGTAACTCAGTAAACTAGTAAGACTTAGAACCTTCTAGGTAAACTGTGTGACTTAACATGCCATGAAATCATTAAGACCAATTTGGAGGAATCTGAATCTGAAAATATAATCAGTAAAAGTTACACAGGTATAAAAATTGGCTTAATTCAAGAACCTTTGGAAATCCTAGTCTTTATACCTGTATTTTGTTTTTAAGATTCTGATAAACATTATGGCAACTATGTTAAGAATGCCAACGCTGAAAAAGATGAGTGGACACCACTGTTCTTAGACCATTCTGTTTCTGTTGCCATAACGTTGTTGTAATATATTTGGATAAGTACATTTAAAATATCCTTTAAGCATAAATTTTTATGTAGATCAGATGACTCCCTTTCTAAATCAAATTTAGGGCTTCAAGTTTTCTTGTTCATGTATCAAAATGAAGCTATTGATGTTGATTTGTCTCTATTAGCAGAAGAACTTCACGATTAAATGATGTCATTTGTCTATCAATCTTTCAATTAGAAAATCAGTTAACTTTAACTTCTTTTCCATTCAATTTTTGGAATCAAAGTACAACTTCAGAAATTTCATTATGTCAAAATTGAAATATCTATTACTCTGAATGCTACCATAAATTCAGTTAAAAACTTCAGCATTGGATATGTTATTTGTTAAGGCAACAATAATGTGAATTTGTACTGTTGGTAGAGCACAGTGTTATGGTAATATCAGCATTTTCCTAAATTAAGAAACGTATGCAGCTAAAGTGTACTTGCATTGATTTGGGTGAATACGTCAGAAAACATATACTAACGTGAGAACTTATAAAGTGCTGTGAAATTTCCAACAGAAGGGATATGATGTATGCAAATAGTCCATAATATCTCCTGAACTTTGCAAGCCCAGGGGTCTCTGCCCTCTCTACATAACTTTAACCAAGGGGCCTTGGTTTTGGATTGGAAAATTCCTGCAACCAGTGGTAATCTTAATTTGTTGAACTTGATGGAGAACAAGTCCAAAAGGAGGGAAAGAAAGAAAACAAACAAATAAAAAAACTGATAGCAAATGTACGAAAACATTTCTGAGTATTTCTGAAATCTAGAAGTCTACCCAAAGTCTTCAGAATAAATGGTCACAGGCCACATTCTCATTTCCTCAGAAAAAGAAACTCATTTAACTTTGTTCAGCTAGCTTTTCCCATGGAATAGATTTCAAGAAATTATAAAAAAAATTTTCCCTAAAAAATAAACTATTTAACGGATTTTAGTAATAATGGAGCCAAAATACCTTACTAATGGTATTTATTAAAACTTGTTTTTTGTTTATTTTTAACAGTCAGAAACAGTGTTCAACTCAACATCCTGCCTGAATGACTATATGAAATGATAAATTTAAAATGTACCTGGCATTTTGAAGATGTCTTTAAATATTTCTAAGTGACTAAAACATGCAAGCAAAGATGCCGTACGTGTGGAGAACACAATAAGTCCCAGCATTTTCAATAGTTGTAAAAAAGTCACTGAAAATGGCTAAGAAACATGGTGGGTAATAGGAAAATATACAGTAAAAGGTTATCACCCAAAGCGCTCTCACAATTAAAGACTACAAAAGAAAATCCTGCAAAAGGATCATTTGCCTCTGAACTACTCTTCACAATACCTATGCTTTCTTTAAATTACTGCAGGCTCTAACAATTTTGGAAAAAATAAAAGAAAATAATGCAGGCGAACAGATAATGCTGAAACCATTGGATTCAATGCCAATTGGGTTTTAGAATTTAAGGTCATCATTCTTAAACCAGTGAGAAATCTTTATAAACTATGCTTACAAACAGTGATTACTCCACTTATGATGGAAGATGAAATGCTCAAATATTATCAAGCAGAATGTTCATGTGAAAATCATGAGGCACATAGCATGGAATCCATCCCTCATTCCTGACCTTGAGTCATTTATGGGTGATCACGTGGACGTCACTCAGGGCCCGTGAAGCATTCCATGTGTCCACTGCTGTCCTTCAGTGGAATGTCATCTTTCTTACAGTGAGTGTAACGCTGGTCTAGACCCTTTCACATCCTCCCACTAATCCCCGCAATAGCTAGGGTACTGCCATTTTCCAGAGGATGCAATTAAGGAAACATCACGTACATTCATAGTATTTCACAACTATTAAGCGGGAATCAAACCCAAGTCGGCCATGCTCCATGGTTCCTATTTTTCTTTTAGCCCAACCTGCTTCTTTGGTTTTCTACAATTATTTGCCTAACCGAACATCAAAGACCCATTGATTGAGCATGATTATAATTGAACTTCCATTGCAAATAGCCTGAAAGATCCTTAGAATAGAGGACAGACTCAGAGCCCCATTTGGTACAAGACACGAAACTCAGGAAAGTAATTTGCTGATCTTCTCAAGCATAGTCTGTTCTGAGTCATCATTGCTTCTTCTTTACAATGCTGTTGCTATTATAAGCTTCTTTCACTCTCTCTCTCCAAGTAAAAAGTGTCCCATAAGCTATCCATTTGTTTAAGATTCATGGTTAGAATTGGCTTAAAGTTTAGAAATGCCAGTGATCTAGAGAACTTCAGTGGGAAGGGAAGAGAAAAAGCTTTCCCTTCCTCCATATTTTCGACATTTACCACAGAGACTTTCCGAGCCGGCTGTAATCCC